TGGGCCGTGTCGTGGACCGCTACCGTCCCCTTCAGGGCCTGGGGCAGCCGCTCTGCGGGATGCTGTGCTGTACTTGCTCGAGGGGTCACCTCCCAAAAGCACCTGAGTTCCCGTGTGCGCGGATCGCCTGGGAGTTGACCCTTGCCATGGGCAAGGGGTGCGATGTCTCCTGCCAGCGCAGAGCCTACCTGAACCTCCAGTACTTGCTGACATCTCCATAACCCCCCTGTGTTTTGACGCAGGCCGTCGTCCTCTCCACGTACCTGGAGATGGGAGCCGTGGAGCTCAGGGGCCGCTCTGCTGTGGAGCTGGGTGCTGGGACGGGGCTGGTGGGCATCGTGGCTGCCCTGCTGGGTGAGTGTGATGCGCGAGCTTGAGCCCTTGTGAGTGGAGCTCATTGAGAGGTGCGCCTGCTGTTTTATTGATGTAGAACCCACTGTTTGTTTCCCCTGACATGATTCTTTTTCTCCCCGCTGTATTTCTTTATTAGGAGTTACGGGCTATCTGCTGGTGCGCTTACCTCCAATCCAACAAGGCTAAATTCTCTCTCTCTCTTAAAATATATTTTTATTGATTTCAGAGAGGAAGGGAGAGAGAAATAGAAATACTAGTGATGAGAGAGAATCATTGATTGGCCACCTCCTGCATCGCCCACACTGGGGATCGAGCCCACAACTGAGGCATGTGCCCTGACTGGAAATTGAACAGTGACCTCTTGGTTCATAAGTCGACACTCAACCACTGAGCCATACAAGCTGGGCGTCTCTCTCGCTCTCTCCTCTCTCTCTCTCTCTTTCTCTCTCTCTCTCTCTCTCTCTTATCTTGTTATTTGCACTTCAGTTGTTATACTGTTGATATTTGGCTCTGTTGACTAATTAGTTTACAGACCACTGCCCAGCTGGTTTGGCTCCGTGGATAGAGCGTTGGCCTGTGGACTGAAGGGTCCCAGGTTCGATTCCGGTCAAGGGCACATGCCCAGGTTGCAGGCTCGATCCCCAGTAGAGGGCCTGCAGGAAGCAGCCAATCAGTGATTCATCACTGCTGTTTCTATCTCTCTCCCTCTCCCTCCCTGTCTGAAATCAATAAAAAAATATATTCAAACAAACAGAAACTTCACTGGCTGGTATAGTGACACAGGGTGGCAAAGCGCCTAGGTTTAGAAGGATACTTGGTTTTGACACGTCTTTTAACTTCCACTAGCCAAGTGACCTTGGGCAAATTGCTTAACTTCTAAACTGCAATTTCCCTATAACACAGGGAAACCATCGCACTCGTTGCGCACTGATGACCAAATGGGAGGTGTGTGGAAATCTGTTAGCTCGCTGATTGGCACAAAGTGAATGCTTAACAAGTGCGGTTGGCTCTCTGAGTATTTTTGTTTCTGGTCTAGAAATCTGCACCTGGGGGGTGGGAACACCAGGATGAGGCTCCTCAAAGACTGTCACCGAGCGAGTCACGGAGTGCTGACTGGTGGGGGCCGTGTCTGAAGGTGGCTTGTGGAGGGTGTCTGGGGTGGTTTCACCCAGGGGCCAGCCACCAGCCTCCACCTGAATATTGTATTGTGATCAATAATATACTCAGATATTATTTCCTATGCCATTCTCACATCCCTGTGACTATTCTGTAACTACCAATTTGTGCGTAATCTCGTCACCTCTTTCGCCCAAAGCCTTTTCAAAACAGGACCGAGGCCCTGCGTGATCGGCCTCCCTTCCTGTTACTTTCGTGACCTCATCTCCTTCTGCTTTGTTCCTCATTCACTCATCCCAGCCGCTCTGGCCTCCCCCTTCCCTTCCCCTCCGGGCCTCTGCCCTTGCTCTGTTGCCTGCCAGGAACATCCTCCCCCTGCGTGCCTGTGCCCGCGCCTGTGCCTGTGCCTGTGCCTTCGGCGACTCCTTCCTTCAGGCCTTGCCTCAGTCTCCTCAAGGCCTTCCCCGTCCACCCTGCCTAAAATTTCACGCCCGCCTCCCTTACTGCCTGACATTACATGTCTCTTTCCTGATTTATTTATTTCCTTGGTGCATATCTCTCACTGACATACTGGACGGATATTCTTTTTTTTAAAGCCTGTTATTGTCTATTTCCTCACTTGAATGCAGGCTCTGGGAGGGTGAGGGTTTTTGTCCAGTGGCCACTCGAATGTTTGTGGAGTTGATAGACGTTCCAGGGAAATGGTCAGCTGTCATCAGGATCTTATTAAGAATCCTGGAACACTGCGTAGGTCAGTTAGATGCAGCCTCAGAAATCCCCGAGACAGGCATTAGAGGAGGTCTGCATTGAAGAACTATTGAAACGAACACCAAGATGATATGCAAATGACTAGATCGCCCCATATTGTGAGCACAGTGCTCTGTGATTGTTAAGAAATCCAGAGCCCTAACCGGTTGGCTCAGTGAATAGAGCGTCGGCCTGCGGACTGAAAGGTCCCCGGTTTGATTCCGGTCAGGGGCATGTACCTTAGTTACGGACACATCCCCAGTAGGTGTGCAGGAGGTAGCCAATCAATGATTCTCTCTCATCATTGATGTTTCTCTCTATCCCTCTATCTTCCTCTTTGAAATCAATATATATATATATATATCCTGAGATAAAGTTCTGAGTCGAACCGGGAAAGGCTGTCTGTGATTTTCAGGAGAGATGAAGGGTCACCGACTCCCACTCCCAGGCAGCACGCTGCCTGGCAATGGATAGACAAAGCGGTAGGTCCGTGCTTGTAACATCTAACAACTGGAACATTCTCACAGTCTCACACTCAGGATTGTAAATGTCAGAATGAATTACATACTGTCCTAACCTAGTGTTGCAGCTCAAGATAAGACACCTCTGAAATGGTGCTTACCACAGCAACTCCGGAATCTGGGGGGATTACCCGTGAAGATAATTAACTGAAGAAGCGGCCAATGGGAACTTCAGGAAGGAATGAAACAGAATTTCACATTTCAGAATTGATAGGGCCAAAACTAAACAAGATTATACATGCTAAGTTGGTATTACAGTGTAGACAAACAGGGGCTGAATTTACGTGGTGCTTCATTTTAGGGGTTCAGCCTCTCACATATATTGGTTCAAAAAATTGGTGGATCTTTTGTTCACAGTAAAAGCCCACAAGAAAGAGATTAGTAAAATATTGCCTCATTAATTTTATACACCGCATGTGGAAGCCTAGCACTCAGAGGACATGCTCCCACACTTTAACCTACAGCACTTTAATACAACCTAGTAATTTCTTTTCAGGTTGTAAGAGAATGATTATTTAGAAAGTTACAGAAGTAGTAGAAGTGAGCCAGCTGGGCTGGGTGGGCTCAGGAAACAAGTTACAGAGGCAGGAGAAGGGCCCTTGGAGCTTAGGAGAGAGAAAGGCTAAAGTAAAAGGCCTGAGGGTGGGGGTGGGGGGCAGGGAGAGGAGGAAGGGGAAGGCAGGGGTGTGCTTCTGAGAGCCAGAGAGTACACCACAATCTAGTAACTTCTAAGTTTACCCTTTTTCAATAATCATGCGTGCACACACATGCACACGTAACAAATACATATAGGTTGGCTGCTTTGTAACAGCATAAGGAGAAATAGACTAGGATTTCTTCGTAGCCAATTAATCTCTTCCTTCTCTTTAAAGCTTTAATCCCAGAAAGTAGCCCTTCCCTGTTTCTGGTATCTTGTCTTCTTCGTAATCATCTGCTCCCAGATTTTTCATTGTTGGATTCCGTGTCACCCTGAAGCCTACTGACTCCAAGATTGCGACCCAGTGAATGAAACGTAGAGACAGGCGCCTCTGGAGGGCCAGCTCTGCCTGCAGAATTGAGAAGCCCCCACTTGTTGTCACTTGGGGCCCTGCGTTTTATAAGGTTCACTTCTACAGTCGGCGTGCAGAAGGAGCCACTGGTCATTGTTCTAATCTGCAGCCACCCTGAAGGGCATGGTCTGCACATCAGGTGGAATATCTACAGACACCCACCCTGCTGTTGAACTTGACCCGAGACCTATGAGTTGTACTGACGTGCCCATTACTTTCTCTCTGTCCCACCTTCTAGGTGCTCAGGTGACTATCACGGATCGAAAAGTAGCATTAGAATTTCTTAGATCAAATGTTGAAGCCAACTTACCTCTGCATATTCAACCCAGAGCCGTGGTTAAGGAGCTGACTTGGGGACAGAATTTGGGGAGCTTTTCACCTGGAGAGTTTGACCTGATACTTGGAGCTGATATCATATATTTAGAAGAAACATTCACGGACCTTCTGCAGACTTTGGCGCATCTCTGTGGCAGCCACTCCGTGATTCTTTTAGCTTGCCGTATCCGCTACGAACGGGACAACAACTTCTTAGCCATGCTGGAGAGGCAGTTTTCCGTGAGTAAGGTTCACTATGATCCTGAAAAAGATGTACACGTTTACAAAGCCCAGAAGAGAGACCAGAGGGAGGGCTTATAGTTGGCTGTACTTTATAGGAACGTTGTCATTAAGTGTGTCAATTAAGGTGTTAGCAGGGGGAATCTAACCATGTTTAATGAAATGGCTTACTGTACAAAAAGTCTAACCAAAGGTTCTCGAGGAACAAACTGCTGTGATTGTATAGTCATAGTTCACTCACTCTGAAACTCAGTTAAGAGGAAGTATGAGCTTTGGTTCATGTTGTTTCTGTATCCCAAATGCTCCCTCCTGATAAGCAGTTTTCACTGATACCACGAAGGGCTGGTATATTGGCATCTTCAAAGCAGTGAGCTTGTTTTGCTTTAGTGAGAGGCTAAGTCATGCAAATAACTTTAAACACATTCTGAGATACATGTTTAGCCCATTTTTTTCTAATTTTCTGGATATAAAACAAGGTTTAACATACATTCCCTGAGCTGTTAATGCTTTCGAAACCTTCCGTCTGCCAGTTTCGGTCTTAAATAATTTTGGTGGTTTGAGATTGGGGTGCAAGTTTTCTACAGTCTCACAGCATGCTTTTTGGATTACTGTCAGATGTAGGTCTGTGAACAAAGGAATCAGTAAAAAATAATGTTTTATTTACTTTTGAAAGCATGTAACATCTTGGACCTCCATGTGCTGTGACTCACTAGGCTATCATCTTCATAAAGCAAAAGCCATAGCTTTTCCCTTCACCTTTCCCGTTTCTCAAATGTTTTTGTAGTTCTTTCTTAGGCTTTCCCTGCTTCCTCATAGTGCATAGGATGACAGTGATAGTTTTAAATCTCACCCCTCCATGAGAGGTTAGTCTCCAAGGACAAGTTCCTTCCGTAGCGTACTTGTCATTGCCTGTTTGGATTCCCCGGAACACTGTACGCTTCCTGAGGGCCAGGAATGCTCTGCCTTTCATTTTGCCTCCCCAGTGTCTAGTAGTAAATTTGTTGAGTGAAAAAGATCCATTCCATTTAGATGATATTGATCTTTGGGTTAAATGATTGCAATGTTGTTTCACGATTATCTTTGATAGACTTGATGAATGAAGTTGCATACCCAGTATTGCCCTAGCTGGTTTCGCTCAGTGGATAGAGCGTTGGCCTGCGGGACTGAAAGGTCCCAGGTTTGATTCCTAGTCAGGCACAGATTGTTGGCTCAATACCCAGTCGGAGGCATGTTGGAGGCAGCCGATCAATGATTCTCATATTTGATGTTTCTATCTCTCCCTCCCTTCCTCTTTAAAGTCAAAAATATTTAAAAATAAATTTAATATTCAACTTGGTATTGTGTGTTTGTGAATGAATTATTGCCATTTCTGATAGCTCTTCAAGAAATCATTGAGTTTTTATCTTTCTCAT